TCAAATGAATGTTCATCAGCCTTTAGATTTTCAATGATTCTTCGGCTTCTGTTGGTTCAGAATAAATTGCTGTCACTCCCTTTTTGCGCTCATTGATCAACCTCTGAAGTCTGATCATGTGTGTATAAATTTTCTCTATGAGACTGAGTCACCATCGCATGCTCAGGATCCAACTCCGGGTCGAGACATTCATCAAGTATAATCCAGTTTTGATTGTCAGAGTTCATGCTGCGAAAACCACCAGCATTGGCTCGAACGAGGGCTTCGTCAGACAGGGTGGCCAGTATCTAGTCATAATGGTCAAACACTGGAGCTCAACTCAGGGAATTCTGTACACGTTTTTCCACATTGGTTAGTTCGAGTTAAGCTGGAAGACTGGCCGTTTGCGGAGAGTAGGCAGACCAGCACCAGTCGACGAGCATTCCCATGGAATGATGCACTACATAATGAGAAATTTGAAACCTCCAACATTAATTTGTTACACATTGATCAACAGTCACACAAGAAAAGAAGATAGAACACGGACTCAGAGAGAACGTGTATTCAGTACAATTCCAAAAATTACAATGCACTGGCCAAGCCCTTGCAAACAATAAGTTTTTTATCTTCGCTAGTGTCAAATCTCAACAACGGTTTTTCCTTTTGCATTGGGGAACTGATCCACAGAGATTTTCCTGAAAGAGAAAGAAAAGCACATTGTGTAGTGTTTTGTTTACACAAGTTTTCATTCTGTTGCAATATAAGTGATATAGTGTACATTTCGAAAGATTTTTCTTCCCTTCTTCATATCGTCAGTTTATCTATCTCTTATTATCTGGTATGCGATGTGTAGCGTGAAAAAAACCCAAGTTTCGAAGTCGTGTGATTATAATTGACAGGATTACGAACAATAATAAATTTTGTTCGAAACATCATCCAGTAGATAATACTGTTCCACTGTGTGATACATCTAATAAACAAACTAATATGGAATTACTTACCACCACGGTACCCGAGCCTTGCCTTACTGATGTCTTCACTTCAAAGGGTACGCTGAGCTTTCAATCGTGCACTGCTTGACATAAGGTTGACGAGGATTCGGGGAGCTACCTGGCGCTGAAGCAATTTCTAACTTCATGGTCAACGCTGTCGAAGATCTTTTCATAGCCATTAAAGTTAAAATAAACAACTGGCTGTAATTCTGTGCTCTGTTCGGAGATGGTGGGTAGTGTTGGAATTCGGTCCATATATTATTTGCTTTCCCTGAATTCAGCTTGTTCGCGAATCGGTCTTGTTTACACCGCATCGTTCACTCTCTTCAGGATGATGCGACTTAAATATTTTTCTTGGAGGACATGATGAAATCTAGGGAATATTCAAGTATTGATTTGTAGGGATTTGACTGATTGGTTATAGGATTTCATCATGAGGTGACATTGGTTGGAGAACCATTTGAAAACCTAGGAGTACTGTACAGCGGTTTAGTCCTAGTTTGGGAGTCCTCATCAGATCAGTAGCTACCTGGGTCTTAGTGGGAAGTCGTGGCCAGTAGGGTGCAGCAGGTTGAGTTTGAAGACAAATACGCGCCGAAGACATTGGCTAGCGGTTGCGCTATCTCGTGAATTGGCAGGAGTTAGAATTCATGGGCCATTGGATTGGTTCCCAGTGGCTTAATGGTCTACGAGATCGCTCGCCTTGTAACCAGAAGGTCCCAGGTTTGAACCCCGGTGGGTGCGTACTGATGAAGAATCCCAAACTAGGACGAAACAGCCGTCCAGTACTCCTAGGTCTTCCAATGATTGTCTGACTGATGTCAGCTCATGATGAAATCCTGTAACAAATCCAGGGAATTTTGTGTTTAATAATCACTACTGATTGTATCCATTCATAGCTGAGTGTCTTGAACATTTTAACCGTAAAATTGAATACATTACTTAGTACTTTAAGCCACTTAGTGCCTTTTATTAGCGTTTACCACATCCTTGAAAGCATTAAGTGGATAATGGACATGTTTTCTTAGAGATAGAACCACCATGATTCTGACTCACTAGGCTCTTTTCTTAGTGTCTTCAAAATATCAACCATTTCACTTAAACAGCGTCTAATTTTTATAATTCAGATCAATATTTATTCGATAGAAATATAATATTAATTGTTCACTCTCATCTGTCCTCAGTAGTGACTTCCTTTTCCTACCAACGGGCTATCTAATATAACATATGGGACTCACGCTAACGAAACGCATTCCAAATATTTAGTCTGTATGGTTGATGAAGAATCGATACTAGTTGGAGAGCCGTTAAAAACTGTCCTAATTTGGAACTCATCACGCAGCAAGCACCCATGACTTCACCAGGGACAAAAGCCAGGACCTTCATGTTATAATGCAAGCCCGTAGACCATTAAGTCACTGGAGATGGACACCACAGCTCACTGACTTTAACTTCTGCAAATTCGCGACGTATAGCTCAACAGCCGGTGAATGTCATCGGAGAATATTTGTCCTCATAACAGACTTGGTGGTTTCACTGGTCGCGAGTAGTTCAGTAACCTTATAAGCCAGTGAGAATTCTTTCTTTGTCTTCTCTCTCCTCCCTCACTTTCTAATTTGCAATGTATGTAGAGTAACAACGACTTGGACGGTTCACTTGGTTGTCTAAAAATCTCTAATTTATTTCATTTGCTCCCAGTTTCACTTTATTATTCAAAGTATTTTGTTCTCATTCTTCAATAACCATTGTAATTTCAGCTGGTCTGAGGCTGACGAGAGCCTGTGAAATAAGATGACACTGTTTCTATCGAAATTTATTGAGGAAAGCACGTATATGATGTTAGCTAAGTCTCTGTGAATAGAATTTAAGCCAAGACACAATGATGTAAATCAAATGTCTAATCCAATGGGGAGTGCCTCGATGCAAAAACAATATTGCTAACAATAATTGAAGTTGAGCATTGATTCATAATTTTTTTGATCGACAAACTGACGCACATCTTTATTATTATCATGAATAATACTGTTCGTTCTTTGTGTTCCAAGTAAAGCACATAGTACCAGACGCACATCTCCTTTGCATTAGTTCCTCTGTCATCTCTTTCAGCTGACAACAAAACTGCCCACAAGCTCTAAGTTCCTCCAAAGATGATTTTCTACATGCCATACTTGAATTCCCAACTTGTTGTTTCTCATATAGGGTCCACCTTAAGGTCAGGAGTGTGATCACACCAGAAAACCTCCTCAAAGTATGATCTGCACACCTCCATTTCCTTCTGCATATTTAGATGGAGCAATAAGAAGACGTAATTTGTCTGAATCGTGTAATGTATTTGCGAAACACATTTCGAACAATCTGATCACACACGGACTTGTCATAGGAATATATATATGAAGTTAACAAAGAGTTAAGAGGTGAGAAAATAGATTTAGGTCAAGTTAAAACGACATATTGAAGGTCAAAATAACAATGAAGATCACTAAACCAAATAACAGAGGTAATAGTACATCTACCCTGGCTGCCTGTATCAAAACAAAGTTTACCAGGGAAGCTTTAGTGTGATGACGAATTGTTTTTGAACGCATAAAGGTGGTTTAAAATTTCTAATTGCTAGGGCTTCCACAAACTTTAGGATACGCCCAAACAAGTTTTATAGATAGGTTTAAAAGATGTGTTAACGTCAATTTTTTGTCCTGTCTCTATAATATGCTTCGCGATAGAGGAGCTAGGTCTACTGTTCTCACCATTAATGGGTTCTGAGGATTCTATTTGTTCCTGGAGCCATTTAGGAATATGGTCTGAAGCCCTTACTTGCAGAGATCGATGAATCCTTCCTATGTATGTGACAGGACATAAAAATGATGCTAACACATCTTTTAAATCTTTCTATTAAAAGTGTTTGGGTGTATCCTAAAGTTTGTGGAAGCCCTAGCAATTAGAAATTTTAAACCACCTTTATGCGTTCAAAAACAATTCGTCATCACAGTAAAGCTTCCCTGGTAAACTTTGTTTTTTTTATTATTTATTTATTTTGATTACAGCTTGATGCCACACCGTAGTTTTAGATACAGGTATGGAATTTTCAGCATGGATATCGGTAACCTAAATATTGCAGGCCGACCACAGATATCGGGTGTGCGCCGGCAGGAGGTCGAACCCCGGACCATGTGCATGGTCGGCGAGAGTCCTAACCACTATGCTATGATACTGGCAGCCAGGGTAGATGTACTACTACCTCTGTTATTCGGTTTAGTGACCTTCAATATGTCGATTAACTTGACCTAAATCTATTTTCTCACCTCTTAACTCTTTATTGATTTCATATATATTCCTGTGACAAGTCCGTGTGTGATCAGATTGCTCGAAATGTGTTTCGTAAATACATTACACGATTCAGACAAATTACGTCTTCTTATTGCTTTGTCTAAATTCACAAAGGGAACTTACTGTTTTAAATTCTGCATATTTGTTAAGTCCTGTAGAATAGTGGTTAGTCGACGGGTTCCCGTAGTAATCAGAAGGTTCTGACTTTGACCGGTGGTAGGGCAGCGGTCACGTACTAAAGAAAACTCTCAAACTGAAAAGAAACAGCTGTTCAATGCCTTCTAATTGAAACACCTCCTAGTTTGCTGACCGATCCTGAGCCGAGAAAAAATGTGGAAGACAAGTAGTTGGGCCGGGGATCTGACGCCATAAAAAGTCCCCCTAGCCACTGAAATTTCAAGACATACATAAAGTATTCTTATTCATATTTGGGATCGGGAAGACTCCTCATTTCGGGAATGGATGATGATAGACGGTAAAAGCCAATTTGGCTATGAATGGAAAAGTGAGCATTGAGGCTTCAGTCTATACACATTTAAGATACTGTATTATTTAGGTGGAAAGACGAATGAATATGCAGTTGAACTATCTTAGTCACTGGCTTGTAACCTCTAAGAATTCAATATTAAGGGAAATGATTGAAATCTCTTATCCCATGTCCTAATGTCAAACTGCTGTGTGCAAATGCAATACAATAAACAATTTGCATTAACTAGTGTATATTTCATTCAATAATTATAAAAACAGAAATTATGCAAAATGTCCGATATAATTTCTTAAAACGAAGACATCACCCAAATAAACATCATCTTGTAATCCACCTGAAGAAAAGAATAAAAAACAATCAATTAAAATTATTTCTAGTTTTATTTCAGTGTAGCATTATCTCAAACAGGCAAGTATCCCAACAGGAACTAACACAAATCAATCTAACTACTGTTTGCTATATTCCACTGTCAATAAGTCAGTCTACCTTCAATTTTGATTCCACAGCTTTAAAATTTAAACAGACCGATGGTATCGTATATCTTATCACAAACTGAATAAAGTTCATAGCCTAGTACAAAAGCCTATGATTCGCTTTTGCCTATTCGCAGTGCAATTTTGATAAGGTCTGGCTGGCTTTTTTAATTTTCTTTTTTTGTATGTGCAACTGTGGTTTATCAATCTTTTGAATAGGTTATCGTAAGCCAATACTGACTGCGTGTTTTTTTATTCCTTCACGTTCCCAGTGGAACTTAGGGCTTCAAACTAGGGGCTTGAAGTTTCGGTAGCAGTGGTGGGATGGGGGTTGCTAGCCTTATTCCCAACCTTTCCTCTCTACCAGCTTTATTTCTGGCTTAGCAAGGTAAAGGAGCTCGTCTGCCGGGGAACGAATCCCGGACCATGTGCATGTTCGCCGAGCGTCCTAAGACTGTGTTAGTGTGACTAAAAATACTGCAGGATGTTTCAAAGTCATGGACTGTAATTATCTGTCCACACCTCTGTGGACTTAGTTCAGCAACTTGGTCGATGACTGTTCCACGAAGGATGTTGTCATCTTCAGTGGTTACGACACTTACTTACAAATCGGATTTGCTATACCGTTTGTTAAATCCTGACCCGTTTGTTAGTCTTTCACCTCAGTGAACAGATCACAGGAACAGTAGAATCTCCGATACTATTTCGAATCATATCGGTATTCGAATTCCCCCCCCCCTCACCAGTATGGAACAACATTTCTTTAAAATGGACTAGTTCACCACTCCAGTTTTACCTCTTAATAGAAAGACATATTTCAGAAAGCGTAAAACAGTTTGTTAGATGACATTACAGTCACAATGTATTCGTATACACAAACCGTTTTGAAGAATTGGCCAGTGTACTCTACTAATTCCTAGTGAACTGATTTCACTACTGACAAAATTTTGTCTGTTCCTAGAATTAGGAAGACATATAAGATTTGATTATGAACAGTGAATTGCGCTAAAAACGTTATTCAGTTAATGATCAAGTAAATATGTCTAATATGGATATCTACTGCCATGCAGAAGTTATTCTGTTATCTCAGATAAACTAAGCAAAAACACATAGTATGCGTAAACGGCTCTGTATGTCTTTATGCTACTTTGGTCAATTAACATCCAGTGAACTGGAACAGATTTCCTGCGTATAGTGCTAGAAACCACACTTAGCGTGTTGTAACAGTCTATGATACTGCTTAGTTTTCCCTGTTGAAGAGGAGTGTGTGCGCGCAAGATCAGAATCTGAGACTCACTGGATGAAAGTTAAATGCTAAAACTAATGAGCAACATCTCCAGAAGCTGTACTTTTGTGGAGTGTATTTCCGAGGACAGTCAGTGTTTCTTTTAACATGTTGGTACAGTACATAAAGGTCAGTATCTATAAGAAAAGCTTCAAATAAACTCATTTTTATCTATTTAGGATACCTCTATCCACCCTCTTATAACGTTTTTAAACAATAATTTCAGTTATACCTCTGTCTTAGAGAAAATGGAACATCAGGACAATATTCTCAACTCATTATCAACAATTATGAACTGGGTAAAAATTGGGTGCGATTTGATTTAGGGAATACAGGAATTTCATGCAGTCCAGAGTCATAAAGAAGTTAATACTGGAAATCCAGCCTACACGAACTATTCGTGCCTTCCTTTCAGCAGTATTTCCATCTGACTTCTCCGTCTTCACTTTCATCTTTATCCAATTTTCTTTCTCCTTTCCTTTTGTCTGAAACTACACCAGCAATTTATGTCTTCTCAACGTTTGTTAGAGGCATCTTACTTTATTCTACTTACAACTTCTTATCAGTAGCTTCCAGTACAAGAAGAAAAATTTAGTTCTACAATAAAAGTAACATGACATGTCTCTGTCAATTCACCAGACACTTTTCAAATACTTTTTTTTACACACAGAGATAAATTAAACATTCATCATCTACTAATTATTCCAAATGAAATCTGGAGTAGTTAAGCGATTCGATGTGAGAAATAGTTTGAATTTCCAAGCAAATAGTCAGTCAGTGTTCGGAGAGCGGTCAGTCTAAGTGGATTTAATGAATTCACAAAATAACTTATAATATACATACAAAATATATTTAAAAAAACTTACTCTAAATTGAGTCATCATCGTAAGCGAAACTATTAATATTAGAGCTGTCATAGTTATCCTCAGGGTTAGTCATATCTTCGTCGATTTCATGTTCAGTGCCAGTAGTCTCTCCGTTGTCATCAATGTAGTCATTCATCCCACCTTGATTGTCAGTATTTTCTGAAGATTCAGAGTCGTAATATGCAGCATTTTCATGATCATAGTTTCCATAATCATAGTGACTGAAACTATCCCAATGGTCATGGTAATTAGCGTCGTATGGACTGTGTGTATCATATTCATCTACATCGTCGTCATCATAAAATGAATCTGAAATTTTAAAAAAAGTTTGAGAATAATGAATCACTTGAATTCCGTATCTTTTCATTTCGTTTGCGATCTGGGCAGCTTTGCCAATCTCGTACAGACTTTTTCTTTTGGCGCAAGGAGATTCATCGTGCTTCATCCAGAGGTGATTTGGCAACTACTTCGCTACTACGGGGTGCCACCGACAATTATACATCTCATACAACAGCTGTAAGACAATGCTGCGTGCTAAGTAATCCACAAAGGGGAAACTCAGGGAATCCTTCGAAGTGAAGACGGGAGTAAGACAAGCTGGCTGCCTACTATCGCCAATGATTTTCCTGATTGCAGTAGACTGGATAATGCGACAAACAGTGGGCAATTAGGAAACAGGCATAAAATGGACCCACACAAAAACTTGGAGGATCTGGACTTCGCCGATGATATATGTCTGAATTCCCACAAACTGGAAGATATGCAAGCAAAAAGTAACAAGTTGGCAGAAAAAGCATCAAAGATGGGACTTCCTTAAGGTGAACATAGAGAAAACAGAGGTGATGAAGATTCCTTGCCAACACCAACATCAAAAGCAACAGACAACAATCATCCAGGATAATGGGGGAAATTTGAAAGAAGCAGCCTCCTTTACCTACCTACCTACCGGGAAAGCATCGTTTCAACTACAGGCGGACGGAACTGATGAGGATATCAAAGCAGAGAGGATTGGGAAAGCAAGACAAGCTTTCATTTCTCTCAAGTCTGTGTGGAGGTCAACAGCACTCAGCATGAAAAATAAGATCCAGATTTTCAACTCCAATGTTAAGTCAGTCAGTGCTACTATATGGATCAGAGAGTTGGCCAGGGCGTCATAAAGAGCATCTCAAACAAACTACAGACCTTCATTAAAAGTTGTCTTCGCTCAATACTCAAGATCAGATGGCCGGCCAGAAAAGATCAAAAACAGGGTGGGATCTCTGGCAATGAGCGAACCAACCAGGAACCGATTGTGAAACAAATAGGCAAGAAGAAATGGAGATGGATTGGCTGGCCATACTCTGAGGAAACCATCAAGTGACACCACTAGACAAGCCATCACTCTAGTGGAACCCGAAAGGGAAGCGGCGAGTTGGTCGTCAGTGCAAGGGTGACTTGGAGGAGGTCATTTGAAGAGGAGATGAAAACGTGTGTGCAGACTTGGAGCCAGGTGAAGACTGTAGCAGAGAACCGAACGCAATGGAGACGCACGGATGAAGCCCTATGTTCCTGTAGGAATTAAAGGAAACAATAAGAATAATAATGAATCACTTATAGATTCAACGGGTTTTTGTCTTTCATTCTTATACACACGCTAAGTGCTCTTATTATTTTTTTTTTGCATAGTTTTGATTCCACCAACCTGACCGTTTGGTTCCAGGAAGCCCTGACAAACCTTCAGTGGTAGAAACAAGTGAATAAACAGATCACAGAGACTGGGTGATTTTTTTCCCCAAGACAGAAACCCCCAAAGTAATGTTTTCCTTGCCTCTAGAAACCGTGTATATCCAGGCATTACAAGCACTGCTGAAGATGACATTATATTTGTCAAATTGTAATGAAAAACCTTTTGATATTTATCACAATTTTAGGATTTAGAAAAATAGTGAAATATTCAACTAATGAAAACAAAACGCGTAGTTCCACGAAGAGGTTCTTTTCAGCGAATTTATTTCGTTTAGCCATGCAGTTGTACATAAACATGACTGTACGCCTAAAGGAGAAGAATTCTCTGGAAAGAACCTCTTCGCTGAGCTACGTGTTTTGTTTTCATTAACGAATGGATGGGCGTTATTCATGAGTTAGTTCATGACTTCATTTGATGAACCAGTGCCATATAGCTTCAAGTGACTTTTCGTGAACAGTTTATTTCTCTAGATCATATCATGGTATTCATACAACTTTCTTACTCTTTTTCATAAAATCTGACTCCTTACTCTTTTCCTTCAGGAGAGTTTCTCATTTTCCCAAGACTGGTATCGGCTTATTTCTATTACGAGCGCGAAGTGATGAAATTAATCGGTGTTTAACCTCTTTCTCCACCCTACCTCTCACTTGAATACTTCTTATCTAGAGAAAGACAGCCAGTGGTATGCATTCTCTAGCACACAAAATACTGACACAGAATAAAAGTAAAGTAATATAGTTGGTTTTCAGATAAATACTCAGTATCATTTTCATTAAGGTGAGCTGATTTTTCATTTTTTTAATTAAGACTAATTCAGCCAGTATGAACTTCTAAACTTTTGAAACAGTGTCTGTTATGATTTCTCAAAAAAAAAAAAAAAACTACAAAGGAGTGGAAACAAACCAGGACAATATGATTTATACATACAATGCTCAAAATTAAATTATAGACACTAAACAGTTATCTTTCAGGTTTGTACCTCCGATATCGTAGATGGCAGTGTAATTCAAATTCTGTCGATGAAATTCTCAAAGTTACTGAAATTTACACATAGGAATGTAAAGAATAATTATCCGAGGTTATTTTTTTTCTCTCTAATTAATATAAGATAGTAGAGACAGTCGGCCTAGTAGATGACTGAATTCCACAAACTCCTTCTTAATATTCAAATTTTCTTTCATTTATTTATTATTTTATTATAGCTTGATTCCACACAGTATTTTGGTACAAGTATGAAATTTTCAGCATGTGATATCGGTAGCCCAAATTTAGCAGGCCGACCATAGATATCAGGTGTGCGTCAGCGGGGGATCGAACCTCGGACCATGTAAATGGTCGGCGAGAGTCCTAACCTCTGTGCCACCGACTGATTGTAGATGTCTATTAAAAATTTAAAAGACTGGCTGGTGAACAGAGGACAGTCTTCCCGGTAAATTTATCATCAAGTCCTACATTTGTATGACAGTAATAATTAAAGAGTTATTGTTAGCAGCAACACTAATGTTTTTAGTTACATTCATTCAATAGTATAGATATGTGATTAAATTTCAAAAGCATCAGTAAGAGAGAGAGAGGCAGATAATATGCACTAAAAGAACATTAAACTGATTGAATATCAGATAAATTAAGGAAAGTAACACAGAGTCTATGAATTTGAAGTTCTCCACAGCTGAGCAGGGTAGTAGTAGTCGCTGGACCTGCTTCTTTTGCACACAGAGCTCCGGTCGATCTCAGTGAATTCCAGTGGCCTCTGCTGTCTGGAATCTTCTGTATCTGGATACCTTTCGTAATTTATTCAATAATGGATGGATGATAGAAAATGATTTTGCAATGTTAGCTTTGTGGTCTGTTTACACAAAGTTCCCCAATATAGAACTTTTAAGCGTTTTAATTCACCTTTATTGACCATACTGGTAGGTGTTTCCGACCACAATATGACTGGCTCCACAGGATCAGTCGAACTGACATATAAAATAAGAGGTGGCTAGCCCAGATACTTCGTCTCTCACTTTCCGAATCACAACCGGTTGTGTGGAAAATATATGCTGCAGCTCACCAGCATTAAACATTGTTTCAGTCGATTTTCTCAGCTTGTTGGTTGTTATTTGACTTGGTATATCACCTCTGGTCATATATATAAAGACTTCTTAACAGGTAAAGTATTCTCTCAATTGAAATATTCAACTGGCTGTAGGACCATTGGCGAACTTTCATTTCCTCATCACATGATATTCTGGATGTTGCGCTGGGACGCCCAAATCGACGCTTCCCATCCACCTTCTACTCGAGGATCTGGAGTATCATGTCACCTGACGGTCTCCTCAGAGTATATTTGTTCCATCTCCCTTTCATGCTGCACATTTCTGGGATATCAGGTTCATGGCCGGCTATCTGTCTGCCGGAGTTTCTTGTTGCTTATCCCTCCAGTCGGTGCGTCGGTAGCATAGCGGTTAGGACGCTCGCCGACCATGCACATGAACCGGGGTTCGATCCCCGGCTGTCGCACTCCTTTACCTCGCTAAGCCAGAAATAATACTGGTGAAGAGGAAAGGATGGGTATGTGGCTAGAAACCCCATCCCGTTAAACAAACACTGCTACCGAAACTTCAAGCCACTAGCTTGAAGCCCTATGTTCCACTGGGGGACGTGAAGAAAAAAATCCCTTCCGACAATAAAATCCCCAGTATCGAGGAAACAAAGGCATCTGTTGATGAAGGTATACGGCAGCCTGTTGCAAAATTTTTTCGGTTACACTGGCGCCAAGTGTCAGAAGCTTATAGAAGCAATGACTAAAAGTTAATGTCTGCAATTCGGATTTACTTCTTTTTGCTAAGACATAAAATAATTACTCTGACGAAAATAAGAAGATATCAGACAAGCAATTCGGTTTTATAAAATTCCCAAACTAGTCTTTAATAATAATAATAATAATCACTTTATTCCACAACAATAACAATTTACAGCATGGAATTTTCAGCGTTATGGGTGTAAGTAAAGACATCAGGAACTTCGACAAGGCTGGAACATCCCATCTTTCAGTATTTGTGTTACCCAGTGTGAAGTGAATTTCTGAAGGAACTTACCTCTGAAGCACACTGCATTATACATGTAAAAATCTATTTTATTTCCATGAATCGCTTATCAGATGAAATAGATATCTGACAGCTGTCATGTTAAAGTTTGAAAATATCTAGTAACTTAGACACTCCTCACTCTGTAAGAATAGCAGAACAGGATGACAGTTTAAAAATCTAATGTAACAGCGTGGAGAGAGAGATTTTTAACAGAAGCTTTATTTATTGAATCAAATGAATTTGCGTGTGATAGAAATGACTCAACACTTGCTCACTCGGACATCTGGAAAATCATGAGACCCCTACGGTGAATACTAAGGAATAAAGAAAACTTTGAAACGAGAGTTTCGAAGTTGTGCAGATATACTTGGTATGATTATGAACAATATTAAATTTTGTTCGAAAAGTCATCCAAAAAATAACACCGTTTCCCTGTGTGATATACCTAATAAACAAATTAATATGGGATGTGGTCTTTTTGAGTGATAAAACTGAGCTTTGTAAGATGTCAGAAATACTTCTAAAGCAATTTTCGTTTTCAGCAACTTCAGACTATTTAATAAAAATAATATTTGTAACTACAAGTTAAAAAATAAGAATAAATCTACACAGTGAAACATTATTATCTACTGGGTGATGTTTCGAACAAAATTTATTATTGTTCATAATCATATCAATTATAATCAAACGACTTCGAAACTTGAGTTTAATTAGTTTTCTTTTGTCCTCTGCTATTTGTCGTAGGGGTAGTAGGATTTCCTAGATATCTGGGACAGGTGCTGAGTCACTTCTATTACACGTGTTTGCAGTTGATTCGATGAATAAAGCTCCTGTTATCGATCTCTCCCTCCACCATGTTACATTAGATTTTAAAACTGTCATCTTATCCCATCCTGTTGTATGGTTGTATGTAATTGCATTTAAGGATTCTCTAGCTTTCTCTTCTGAGCAGTATCAACTAATCCAGATTTCGCTAGATTTTTATGCTCGGCTAGTCTGACTGCACCTGTTCTACTACTTTGACCTGATAATCATTGCAGCCAGGGTATTAGATAAACTAAATTGTTTTATTTTAAAGGTTCCACAGGATCCTTTAACTGACAAAGCTTGCTTCTAACTAAGTTTGTGGGTTTGAATGCCAAACAATTTTATTCCTGCCAGAATTGTTAAGAATTCTCCACCGTAAGGTTTTCAAGGTTCCTTCTTTTTACTGAAGTAGTACTGATGATTTATATTCCTTATTGTTGGTGTTGTCATTATCCTGTGCCTGTTTGACATGCATGTCGTCATTAATATTATTATTATTATCACTATCACTATTATTATTTATCTTATTTTTACATTTCCCTACATACTTTCTGACTAATTTATCAGGGTAATTATTAACTTTCAAAGCTTCTCTTATCTGTCTCACTTTCTGTCTCAAAAAAGAAATCTGCAGAATAGTTCAGGTGTGGTACTCTTTACATACAATTACACACAACCATACAACAGGATGGGATAAGATGACAGTTTTAAAATCTAATGTAACATGGTGGAGGGAGAGATCGATAACAGGAGCTTTATTCATCGAATCAACTGCAAACACGTGTAATAGAAGTGACTCAGCACCTGTCCCAGATATCTAGGAAATCCTACTACCCCTACGACAAATAGCAGAGGACAAAAGAAAACTAATTAAACTCAAGTTTCGAAGTCGTTTGATTATAATTGATATGATTATGAACAATAATAAATTTTGTTCGAAACTGAGTCATCCAGCAAATAATACTGTTTCACTCAGTGTGTGATACATCTAATAAACAAACTAATATGGAATTACTTACTACTACAGTGCCCAAGTTTTACACATACATTAAGAACAAATCTAAACCAAGCAAGTAAATATTTACTTGAGAACTAACTAACAAGACAGTGCATGAGGACTTAAATATTTCTCACAGAAATTCCCCTTTATAAATTTCAACAAAGATAGTGCTAACATTGGTGGGGAGTAACATGCACTCAAAGAGAATACATTATGGAATTTCAGCTGCTCTGGTAACGCCCATCTAAACAACTCCTTGTTTTCTGATTTCATTACCCTGTGCTCTCTTCCCTCCCCATATTTTGCTTGACTTTCATATTGGACTTAATTTTCGATCCTTTCAATTTGACTCACTACATTACATGACCATCTATCTCTTCATCCAACTTCGTACACACCGGGATTTTGATTTTTCGACTTTATCAGTGCTAGTCACTGCGTTTCATTATCTTAAGTTAAGCAGCTATCACTGACTTATCAACATCCTGACGACAAAACTTTCCAGTTTTTTAAGAAAAGCTTATAAAATGCATATGTATACCAATAATGATTTCATTTTTCATCCTTATGCTGCGTTTCCCTATGACTTTCGTAAACCAATCCTTACTGTAGGGCTGATTCACGATAAATAGAACGTGCATTAAAATTGTATTACAACTTGTTTCATCATATATTTTAATTTCTACATGGCTGACGAGGACTGACGAAATAACATGGATCCACATTATTCTGCACCAATGTTTTTTCTGCCTTTGATGGAATTAAATATTTCCATGAGTGCTATGAAATTATTGGGGACTGAAGATTATTAACTCCATTATAGATAAGATTTTATTTTGATAAATCACACAGTGTTGTACAGCAGTATTAACTGATGACGTTTCGAGCACACACTATTGCTCATAATCATATCAAGTTACTCACACACCTTTTTTCCTTCATTTATATCCATAATGGAGTTATGCTCTACCACAATGCCCAAGTTTTATACTTATATCAACTGAAGATTATTCTTAGTAACAACTATTCAATAAATGATCCAACAAAATAATTGAGGTGAATGAATGACGACTAAATAAGTCGAAATTTGCCAGTCATATAGAAGTAGGTAAAATCTGCTCAAATGACAGAAAGGGATGTCTAGAACTCTATTTTACCTTTCTTCAGCCAACAGGATAATAGACAAACAGGCGAGTATCAACACTTTCTCTAGATTCCAGTGTAGAGACTTAATTTCCCCACACTTGCCCTATGTTACACATTTCGGTAGTAATTTCCATGCACCTGTTTGGACAATGGTCGTTTTAATCTCCACTTGTGACCATTTTTCTTTGCTAACCTTGTTGATAAGTAGTCTGCAGTGTCATACTCATAGATGCATAATAAAACTGAATCTTGAAAGGTGACCTGCCTAATTTATAAATGGTCAACATGATTTCCCTGCATTCCATTTAGTGGGTGAATACATAAATCCAGATTGTTACATAACTAGTGATATAGTGATAACATGATTATTAAAGTACAATAAATAAATGTATACGGATGAAACCTACGTGTATGTCCATAAGTTAATGAAATTGACACTGTGAAAAAGAGGAGAGCATTTCTAACCGGTGAAGAAATCATTCTTCAGTGATCAGTGAAAGCGATGAGGTGATAAGACACTAACAAAAGTAATGATGCACAAAATTCACATATATATATTTGGAAAATGGGAATTCGCATTTATATACCAAACTGATTTCGCCTACCAGTAGTTTGATTAGTTGAAAAGAACTCACCGCCCATGGCTAGGTTATTTGCAATCAGAGTAAACTGACTGGTTAATTTTACAGTGTTCAGTAAAAGTACAAAACCATACTTCGGTCATTATTCAGCGAACAACAAAAACACTGCTAACTACAAAGCGTAATAGTAACAGTACATATATCTTTCTTTTTTTTTTAAATACACGTTGAATGACGGGATAATTACCATGTAGGAAAAGCCGTTAAATATTTAGTTGAATATTATTAGACTGGTATAGTAATCCGGATGTGAAGCAATGCTGTAAATGCTTATTGGGAATAATAGTTCTGGTCTAAATATTACACTGTATTAAGTTTTCAAATACTGATTGAATCATTTGCAACTTACTCACTGACCACTCTTCAATAATCCCTCTAATTTATGATTTATTCGCTATCTGTTCAATGGTATTTTTGAATACTTTAATCTGACTGACTGTTAACGAGGTCTGTTCAGTGAGTAGAACACCTTCTTTACTCAGCTTTAACATAGTCTGAGAAAAGTGCGTATATGCTCTACTGGTTGGGATATATGCTTGTTTTTACGAGTTTGACCACAGATTCATATCAGCTAGAGAACAAATGAAAACAGGCAGGGAGTACTGGACAGCTGTTTCATCCTAGTTTGGGAATAATGGTACGCACTGCCGATGATTCCCAAACTAGGATGAAACAACTGTCCAGTACTCCCTGCCTGTTTTCAATGGTTCTCTAACTGATATCAATCCGTGGTCAAACTCATAAAAACAAATCTAATCCTTACAAACCAAACTATAGAAAATATATGCTTGTGCATTAGACATGAACATGAATCTAGACAAATAAAGCAGTGATTTAAAAATTGGAAACACTTCCCGAGGTAAATTTAAACCAAGTAACAACTGTGGAAAAAAATAGTATTTAATGCCTTTAGAAATATTCGTAGGACTCTTCCACAGCTAAATACTCTACAAACATTGTTAGTCATACAGTTATTTTACGGTTGACATCCATGTAAACACATGAACATTGTGACAACAACAAATAAGTATCCATTTCAACAAATATAAGTGATAATCTGTTAACATCATCATTAAGTGAATAGTGTCCATCAAAGCACAGCTGTGCTTGCTTCCTCAGTCACCATTCATGGTGTCAAGCAGATAACATGCTGATATGGTCTGAATACTTGACGGTAGCAAAGGAAACCTTGTGCGTCGATGGCATAACGGTAGAATGCTCGTCAATCATGCAGGTGGTCCGGGTTTAGATCACCAGCCGACGCACTCCTTTACCTCGCTAATCTAGTAATAAAAATGGTAAAGAGGGAAAATTGGGCATGAGGCTAGCAATCCCACCCTTTAGAAAAATAAATACTACTGCTACGGAAACTAGCTTGAAGCTCTATGTTCCACTGGGAAAGTAGAGGAATAGAAATGAATAAATAAAATAATAAAAGAAACCTTGGTGAATTTTCACCTCGAAATGTCCCAACGAAAACATTGGTTGGGGTCGCGATAAATCCCGAATCGGTAGAAGTTAAAATTCATGAGCCACTGAATCGGGTCCCAGTGGCTGAATGGTATACGAGCTCGCCTTGTAACCTGATTACCGCCGATGGTTCCCTGATTTTCAGTGGTTCTCGAACCGATATCAGTTCATGATCAACTCGTAAAAAAAACCACTCCTTACAAACCAACTGCAGAAAATTAATATCCAAACAACAAATTCGGTCCAAGAAATTAATTCACCATTACAGGTATATTTTCAAGTATTGGTTTTGTAGGGATTGTGTTTGATTGTTTAGGTGGTTTCATCATTAGCTAACATCATCTGGAGAGCCACTGGAATATCTGGGAGTGTTGGAGAGCCGTTTCGTCCTAGACTGGGATTCTTCATCAGTACGCTACCAACGGGGTTCGAACCCAGGATCTCCTGGTCATAAGGCGAGCTGGTAGACCATTAAACCACTGGGAACCGATCCTAAACTAGGATGAAACGGCTGTCCAGTACTCCCTACAGGTTTTCCAATGGTTCTCTAACTGATGTCAGCTCATGATGAAACCCTCCAACCAATATTACAGGTATACTTCTAAAACACTTCACCTAAGGAGTGAACAACTACCGACTGCATCTTTTTACAAACTGATAATAATCGATGGCGAGTGAATAAAGAATATTCTTCTCGATAGCCTCTTCTTCATCAGGTCTTACAGTTATATGAGGGTAATAATTAAAGAAATATTCTTATTAACAACGTCAACGTCGTTCTAAACTACATTAAATCAGTAGTATCAAAAGGTGATTACACTTCAAAAGCGTCAGTAAGTACATTAAAAAAACACTCAACTGAATACCTGGTGAATTAATAGAAATAAAACACAACTCATGAATTCATAGGTTCCATAACTTTGTTCCTCCTCCGCATGAAAGAAATCCACTTGAGACTCTGGGCTACATGGTCAGACCTATTTGTTCAAAAGATGCGACTGAAGACTAAATTAAGGTTATGTACGACACATTAACGCAAGACAGATAACTTCAAAAGTTCATCATTAAACACAAGGTCAAAATATTAGAAAAGAATTCGGTATCTGTAAAGAAGCCTTGAAGAAACGAAATGCCGAAAAGTACACCCTGAGATGTTATCATAGCCGTGGACTTTAATTGTATATTCAAGTAACTGTTTAATTAATATAACTTACTAATGTATATTTTCTATAATGTACTGTTACACTATCATCTCGTCAATTTGGATTTTTACTCACATACTTGTTATGTTATTGAGCTCGCTAGACAGTCCCCTACATTGGAATATAATTATAATTTATTCGATCTATTCCACAACGCACAAACGTTTTACCGACATTAAAGTTTCGCGATATTTAGAAGCATAAATTTTTGATTGCACACTAGTCAACAACTAGTGTAATGTGTCTAGTCCTATCTTCGGTGCAGACTGAATTCTATCAGTCATGTTTGCAATGTGGCCACCATGCTAGGTGGCTCACTATTACGGTGCAATGTGAATTGTTGGTATTAGATGGTTGGAGGCAATCGGCAGGAAGCCTTGGACCTAGGTTTCGTGCTAGTTGGCACTCGTCAGCAAGGCGTATCTACAACCTTGAAGGAACTCATGACCCTTCCGAGATTCGAACCCGCGTCACCCAGTGCTGCAGTCAGGGATAAGAGTTCCTTCAAGGTTGCAGATACGCCTTGCTGACGAGTGCCAACTAGCACGAAACCTAGGTCCAAGGCTTCCTGCCGATTGCCTCCAACCATCTAATACCAACAAGAGGCGTATATTGTGAGATTCCTCAAGTCGTCGGTAATTATTAATATGTAAAATATTCAGGATGACAGTAAGTTAAAATTATTGATTTGATTTCTGATATATGAACAATGGATTCATTAAGTGTTGATGTAAATAACTGATGGTGAAGAGAAACAAAACATTTACAACTGATGAAAACTGCATAACCAATTAAAGGTAAAACGTCAAGTCACCAAGGAAGAGAGAGAGACTCACTAAAGCTTCTTTTCGGGTACATACATTAGGCAGACTTCAGTAACTTAAAAGAACGAAAGGCATCTATCTGCCTACCTGATGTCCTGTTTAAATCACATGGAGTGTCACCACACTATTTCAAGTTGTCCTGCATCATACTAGTAGAATTTTCGGTGTCTGTTGAAAAAATCTAAGATAGACACTTATTTCTCTAGAAACCAAGTTGGAAATTAAACACCTAGGCGTCATTTTGTCTGCTGATCTTTCCTGGTCGTCTCATATCTTGACGATTTCTAAGAAAATATTCCGTCTTACCTTCTACATCAAGAAGTTAAGACATTCTGGTATAACCCAACCCTTACTCGTACAATTCGTTAACTCCCGCATTCTGCCTATTATTCTCTATTGTTCCCCTTTAGTTTTTCCAGAGCTACTGAAGAAAGACTATACCTTATTACGCGGGATGTTAAAGGTTGTCAGCAGGGTAAGCAACGTGCCACTTAAACAAGCTTGTTAATATTCTGGTCGACACGACAGGCACTTGGACTCATGTGAAAAATGGGCCGAATCCATTTTATCTAACTAACACCACCCACTTCACTCACAACTCTCCCCTTGCATCTCATCAGGCAAAATCAGAAGCCTATATAGGAAACTATATGCTCCCACAAGCAAGTACAAAAACTCAACCATACCCTACTTAGCTCGTGTTCTGTGTGATAAAGAAAGCATTAGGCGTGATACCTATAACTTATTAAATAGTCAGTAGAACAACTGGACATCGTCTTTCCAACTCATATCATTTATAGGTACAACATTTTCTTTCTTTCTTTTCCTTTTCTCTCTCTCTCTCTCTTTCCGTTATGTGCTGCTTTGTTTCTTTCTCTCGCTTACGCCAGTAAATATGACAGCACCTACTTTTCTTACACCTTCAAACACTGTTCAACTTTGGTTTTTCTATCGACATGCCAATGTATTGTTGTAATAATGAACTGAGATTTCCTTAATCTATGTAGAATTCTATTTATTGATAATGTACTAACTGGATGCAATACTGCAGTAAAAATGCTGAGAATTCCATTCTGTATCACAAGTACTGTTTTGGAATAAAGCAAATTATTATTATTATTATTTCAGTGTCTGCGACTTGGTATATACAAGTGGCTTCATGTACACGACTGGTGGTAACAGTATAAAGTGTGTCTATTGCCTTGAGATTGAACTAACGAACACATTTTCTGGTACACAAGCCTATTACATCAGCTGTGGAAAGTTTCGCTTCACTAACTTACATTGCTTGCAATAAATCAAATTAGGGGAAGAAGCTATGTTAAGACCGACCAACAATTTCAAAAGTTTTTAAGACGCAGTGATGATAATCCAAGTTTAGGGGAGATGGTGCTCACAAGAGTAGTC